CTGAGAAATATATAGCCAATTCATGGCTACAAATGAGAGAGAGGCAATCCAAATGACCATTAAACAATGCAAATGGTGAAAATGTAAGCTTTTATTTAGCAAATATATATTCAGTTTTCACACGTTGTTTCAGACATTGATGATTTGGGTTGGTTTTCATTTGACTTTATTTGTATTTGTTGGCGGATTTATTCATGATATGGTCTAAATAAATAGAAGTTTATGGGTCCAATTCACAGGTTAGAGCTCTTTCTTCGTATGAATGCATTAGAGAACTTTTTTTGGATTGTGAAATGAATAGCGTATAATTTCTATAGTATTTTCTTTCTTCTCCCACCCTTGCTTAAACTTTCTTGATTTGGAACTTGCATATCTCTGGGTTTCATGGTTTATTTGACATGAACGGTGATGGAAGAATCAGCAAAGATGACTTCTTCTCTTGTTTAAAAAGACATCCATTGCCTACAACACTTTTTCACCCTGGTTATGGTATGGAGGTTTGTCTATAGCTGATCATACGTTAGTAGATGAGGTGTTGTAGTGGATGGATGATGGGTAATGCTCTTAAGTTATTTTATTTTTTTTTTGTTGTAAATGATTGTGGGGTGTATATCCAAGTCATTTGAAATGTACAATGGTACATTCGTTGAAATTTAGTAATTTTTCTTTCAAGTTCTGTATCCTACAAGATAAAATAATGTTGATTGTATTGACGTATTAACACTGTATTGATATTGTATGTCATTTTTTTTAAAAAGTGACATCGTGTCACTTTTTTAAAAAGTGACATTGTGTCAATTAATTTTATACATAATTTTTTCCTTTTTTTTTTATATTTTCTGTCACTTTCTTAGAATTTCTGTCACTTTTTTGGATTGTCAAACATTACTTTTTAATAAAAGTGATATGTCACTTTTTTATAAAAAGAGTTACATTGTGTCACTTTTTACATTTAATTTTACACAGTATTTTTTATTTTTAAAATACTTTTTATATGATTTTTCAAAAGACCTATAATTTTGGGAGTATATTTTTAAGTTGCCCAACAAACAATGGGTTGGCATGAGCAATAAGGAAGAATGACTACTTTTTTTTGACAAAGGAGAATGGAGTAAGTCGACAAAATAGACTTGTATTTTTCATTGAACAAATATAGGAAAAAAGATTCCTCTCAATGAAATTTATCATGTTGCACTAAGTTACTTATGAATGTATGCATACGGTCCGAAAACACATTGGGATGGATATTCATTTAGACTCCGACATTCTTTGTGCTTGTACAAAACCTTAATATGAACAAAAATAATAATATTACAATAATATTTTGTAATATCTAGTTTATCTTATCAAATATTTTATTGTAATTTTCTTTACTAGAAAACAGATTTAGCCATCTTCTCCTTATGTTAAACAAAGTACATTCAAATAACATTTTAAAATTTGTAATTATATTATTTTTTCTACTCACAACCATTAATATATTAATGAACAACGTTCTAAAAAACGTAAAGCGTGACTAAGTGCGGAGGCCAAATTTCGAACTTTACGAAGCCTAAACAAAAAATTTTAAAACTAAAGTCAAATAGAAGTTTTTAAAAAGGGGGGAAAAAGTAAAAAACAAAAAATTAATAAAGTATGCCTAAGTGTACATTAAGCGCTGCCTAATTCGAGTTTACTACAAAGGCAAAGCTTTTTGTTCGCGTCTCGATCATCAAAGCGCATTTTTTAGAACTCTTAATATGAATATCGTAACTCCTGGATATCGAACAACTTCCATAAGAGTATTGCTAGAATTCGCATTATGCTGACCACCAAAAATATGAAGGCGGACCACATGAAAAACACTTGCCCCACTACCTTAAAGAATATGACTCGACGAGTAGAGAAAAATAATTACATTAACAAAAAAATAAATCTTATTTTAATATATATGAAATTGAAAATGGAAATTATTTTGAAATTAAATGTGCTACTAAGTTGGGATTCAAAAACGGGTTGTACTGGTACAACTTGGTTTTCATTTTGGGAAGAATACATAAGTCAAGCCTTAACTATACTCTAATTCAATTTTAAGAGAAAACGTTTAAAAATTCAAAACTCAGATAATAAATAATATATATTGTAACGCCCCGAGTTCCGTGAATCCGAATTGCCACGTCATGTTCTTTTGTAATCGATTTAACTAACAAAATTTGCGAAAAATAACTAAATTTCAAATTACGCATTTATAACGATAAAAAAAGCCTCGAAAACAACAAAACTCATTTAAATTAACTTAAGGAAATTGATTAAATATCAAATCTCGAGTTTTGAAAAT